AACCTAATCTTTGAACTAAAATCTTGAAATCGATCGGGATATGACGGGTGAGTTAGTAGTTCTTGAGATTCCATAGTGCTATAGTTTTTATATCTCCCCATCTAAATTGGAAAAGTCACTTAGAAAATATGAGCATGTGGACTATGTTTATAGAGACCCTAGGCCAAAAGATTCTTTTTTCATTTATTGGTGTCGCCTACTAATGTGTGAGAGTTTAGTTACCCATCCTTGCACGACTCTTCTTATTTGATCATAATAGCTAGCAGGCATGACAGCTAGCGGGTGTGCGCTTGGTTACATAGGTCTAAGTCAAATGCTACATGGTTGACCTGCGTGCATTGGCGTCAAGCTCGATTGTAATTTTACCATTCGCATTTCATTTGGCGATCTTTGATTGGTTTATTGGTATTGCTATCCTTTGTTGAACAGCATGATGCAAAGTCTAATGGTTTGGGGTATCAACCAATTCATAGCTTTGAAAGCTCCCTACCTCGACCTTAAAACTCAGTTGCGCTTGTTACAAATCTATTTGTTTCGTTGCTTTCCGTCTAACCCCTTGGGCTATGTCGAATGCGGAGCATTATTTTAGGCCTTAACCAAGTTTTTATTTTTGAGGTTCTTTTTCACACTTTAGAGTGATTTCGAGCTAACTGATCTTTTTTTTGTCTTTATTGCTCATCGCTGTATGTCAAACGATCTTGGGTTGTTGAATGTAGGGTCCAGTGATTTTGAGCTTTAACCATTTTTGGTTTTGAAAACTCACTACCAGCCCTTAGAGCTATTTTGAGCTAACCAATTCCTTGACTTAGTTGCACACCGGTATATGTTGAGCGATCTTCGAGGCAGTAGAGTATTGGATCTGGTGATAATCATCAGCCCTTAGAGCGATTTGAGCTAACCAATTTCTTGGCTTTGTTGCTCATCGCTATGTGTTGAAAGATCTTCGAGGCAGTAGGGTATAGGGTTTGGTGATAATCACCAACCTTTAGAGCGATTTTAAGCTAACCAATTTCTTAACTTTGTTGTTCACTGCTATGTGTTGAGCAATCTTCGAGGCAGTAGAGCATAGGGAGCCCTTAGAGCGATTTTGAGCTAACCAATTTCTTGGTTTTGTTGCTCACCGCTGTGTTGAACGATCTTCAAGGCAGTAGAGTATAGGGTCCGGTGATAATCACCGGCCTTTAGAGCGATTTTGAGCTAACCGATTTTTGAATTTGTTGCTCACCACTATGTGTTGAGCGATTTTCGAGGCAGTACGGTATAGGGTACTAGCCCTTAGAGCGATTTTGAGCTAACCAATTTCTTGGCTTTGTTGCTCACCGCTATGTGTTGAGCGATCTTCGAGACAATAGGAGATAATTGTAGTTTTCGCTTCGACAAATCACGAAGCAAGATCTCGTAATGATANCGCTATGTGTTGAGCGATCTTCGAGACAGTAGGAGATAATTGTAGTTTTCGCTTCGACAAATCACGAAGCAAGATCTTGTAATGATATTTAACTTGCCCAGATTTTGGGACTCAATAAATGGACTGGGACATCCCAACTAGACTGGCCCTTCCTTAATGCCCTCTTCATCTGCCGCCATCCAAGCGTCTCATTAAACAATTTCAATAAAGTGTGCCTGTAGTAGGCATTACATCATGAATACTAGTCGAACGTCCTCGCTCCTATATTTTGAAGAGATCATTACATCAGAAAAGAAAATGAAACCCCCTAGCGACTACATTTACAAGAAAGCATCATGCGACTCGAAATCCCTGCACGTTGGTCTACCAATAATACTTCTTGAGATACTCAGTGTTCCACGGTCTGCCTTGTAGTTTTCCTTTCAAGTCCTTCAGGCTATAAACTTCATTTCCAAGGCTTCGGATCACCTTATACGGTCCTTCACAATTCGGCCCCATTCCACCGTTAAATTTATGCCCTCCTGCCACCAAATTATTTTTCATAGTATCGAGGGGCTTAATTCGCCCTCTTGGAGGCTCAAAATCCAGTATCATCACTGGTGGTGATCACTTTGTCCGTATATTGTAAACATAACACTTTCCTCAAGGATTGTTGATCGCCTCTCACACATCTCACACTACGACTGGTTGGGAATTTCATCACT